ATATATATATATATATATATATATATATATATATATATATATATATATATATATATATATATATATATATATATATATATATATATATATATATGTATATATATATATTTGAAATCAATTTTTTTAAACTAAATCCCAACCACCTGGGTTAGTTGACCGGTTGGATAAAAATGATTTTAAGCTCGAAAAAAAACTTTTTGAAACCCATTATTAAGGCTTTTACAATTTGTGCCCCGAAACCCCAACTTTTTTAACCAAATAGCGGGGACCTTAAACATTGACATAAAATACCATTTTTTTGTCTATGAACTCTAAAAGGCCTAAATATTAATTTGGAACTGGTTGGAAAGTTTACAATAAAAAAATATATACTAATTTAGGTCAAGAAAATAGCTTAAAACGCAATAATTTAGTATAATTTTTTAAATATATTTAAATAGAATGACGCTTGCGATCGAATTTAATTCACGTGTGTCACAAACAAAAACAATCTTTCTTTTTCGAACTATTTAATCTAAAAAAATTCGAAAAGATTAAAAAACGAATTCGTGCCATACTTTTACATAAGCTAAGAATATTTTTTTAATTATAAACTCCAATTTACAACTTTTACTTTGAAAATCAAAAATAAAACGAAGATTTAAAAAAAAAGATGCTACCAAAAATTACAAGATCACTTTCAAAGACATTTTTATTTAAAGAAAAAAAAGTGTTAGAAAAACTTTTTGAAACACAGTTTGCCAAAAATGAGGAAATTATTCTTCATTTTCATTACAGGTATGATTAAATCATTAAACTGATTAAAAATTATCATTCAATATATTAACCAAGTAATTTAATTTCAGTTTGAAAAACAAAATATATAAAATCTAAATTTAATCTTAATAACTCAGGCGTCTGTTAGACAAAAATACTCCCGCCAAAACTTTAATTGGTTGTACTTCCCAAGATAAAATGATTTCAGCTTGCTCTGAACTAGCAATATGTCCTCAGAACTGCATCCTTTTGCTAGAAAGAAACCGTGGATTGATGGAGGATATGAAAGCGGTATATTTCATGACAAACACATCAGGTCTGCTAAATAATCTATAATTATGGTATTTTTTTATTTTTACCGAGTTTTACTTTTACTTATATTAATTTGTTAACATGATTCTTTTTACTCTGTTTGTGATATGAGGCAACATTAAAAAGTTTTTAAGCAGCTGTGGCGCAGTGGTAGCACACTTGTCTCAGAAACGTAAGATCCGTGGTTCAAACCCCACCTCTGGACAGGTTTTGCGACACCGGTTGGGAAGGAGGCGTGAACTTCCTGTTAAATGCTTTTCCGCGGTGCTCTGTGATAAGACCGTAAGGACTTCTTGGGGCCCCTAAAATCAACATAAAAAAAAAAAAAAAAATTAGAAAAGTTAAATAAATATTAAATGTTCTAAGAAACTGTTAAATGATCTAGTTGAAAAATGGGCTATGCTGAAAAAAAAAAGAAAAATAAAAAGGCAACGCAGCAGAATTAGCTAGAAACATCTTTTAAAAAAATGTTAAAAAAGTTTTTTGGATCGGAAAACCTGATATTTGCTCCATTTCGAAGAAAAAACATGGAAACAACCAAGATTCATACATTTCAGATAAGCAATTTTTAAATGATCAAATGACGAAACGTAAAATGACACTTGGTTGAAAAGATTTAGTATATTGCCGAAAGCTGAAAAAAATAGAAGAAAGTAGATTGCGATTTTTAACATTTATTGAGAAAATAAAAGGATCAAACTGAAGAAACTGAGTTTTTATTATCAGAACAAAATGAGGTCTCTTCTTGTCAAGATTCCGAATATTCACGAGACAAAATTAAATTAGGTAATAGTTCTTCAACAATATTAACTAAAAAATTTGCAAAAGAAGTTGCAATTACAGGTGTTTCTAAAAATACTTCACCTAGAAATATGATGCACTCGCTCTCTGACATAGTAGTTACTTCTGGGGGTGGTTTGACAGATTTCTCGCTTTCTGGATCTACTATCAGACGTGCAAAAAAGAAAGCAATAAGTACAAGTGTAGCTAAATATCGAGAAGATATAATAAAAGCTGCAAGTCAAAGTAAATTTCTAATAATCGTACACTTTGATGGGACGATCTTGCAGGATATTACAAAACAAAAAAGAGATTGTTTTGCTATTCTTGTAAATATCAATGGTGATTTAAGACTTCTTGGCATTCCGTCAATAGAAAACGGTGCTGGAAAAACTCATCATGATACTTTAATAAACATTTTTGATGAATATAAGCTAAGAACTTATATAAAGGGTCTGTGCTTTGACACAACTGCAACTAATACTGGAAAATATTCCGGCACAAACATTAGGTTTTGTCAAACACAGGGTTTATTTATATTACAGCTTGCATGTCGAAGACATGTTTACGAGCTTCACTGTAAACATTTTTGTGAAAAATTTCACATTGATAAAACTTATGCTCCTGAAAATCTGATGTTTAAAGTTTTCCAAGCTAATTGGAACGCAACAAAGAAAACTATGGATAAATCAAAGTTCAATAAGTATGACAAAGCTGCAGTTAAAAGAACGTATCTAGAATAACAGATCAAAAAAACTGTTCATTTTTTCAAGTATGCACTTGCCAATTTAGTATTTCCAAGAGGTGATTATAAAGAACTAGTAGAGCTTGTATGCTACTCACCTACTTATGTCCATATGTAAGCTTTAATGTTTATGCTCCCGTTTCAGTTTCCCATGCTTGTTTTATGGCAAAGTCTATATATTAATTTTAAATTCAAGTTTTAAGTAATCAGTTACCCTACCAATTGACAGCTTGTTTACAAAAAGAAATCAGTAAAATGGCAGAATTTTTTTCTATATTTTATATTGTGTGGTTTGTGCGTTCCTCTTTAGTTTCCTCTGCACCAGGATTTAAATGCTTACTGGCAGATGGTCCAGAATAAACGTTGGGTAGGATCTTATGATGCAGGAGCTAATGATGTACTGAGAAAATTGAAGAAGTATTGAAATCAATGAAGAGACATACGTGGTATTTTGATCAAACCTTGATTCCATTTTGTCTGGCAGATAAAGAACTCGAAGATGAAGAAAAAGAAAAAGTTGCAAAAGTTCTTTTCTCGCAACCTGTTCCTACTCACTATGAAAAGTCTGAAAATCCAATCCTTCTGAAAGATCTTGACTTCACCCAGGAGAAACCACCTAGCTTGTCACAATTGGTTGCTAGGAACTCGTGGTTTATTTTAAGTCTCTTAAATTTTTTCAGGCTTTATCGACCAATTTAAAACTTTTAAATTGTTTGCCGAATATATGTCGTCAACAACTGCTCTGAACGAGCAATTAAGCTTGTGTCAGAGTCACAATGAAGAGAACAAGCAAGATTTAATGTTGGCCGTTCAGCATAGTAGGGATCAATTAGTATATATATTTTTTATTGTAAACTTCCCAACCAATTCCAAAATAATATTTAGGCCTTTTAGAGTTCATAGAAAAAAAAAGATGTTTTATGTCAATGTTTAAGGTCCCCATTTTTTGGTTAAAAAGGTTGGGGTTTCGGGGCACAAATTGTAAAATAATGGGTTTCTTAATAATGGGTTTCAAAAACTTTTTTTTTTTTTTTAGCGTAAAACCATATTTATCCAACCGGTCAACTAATCCAGGTGGTTGGGATTTAGTTTAAAAAAATTGTTGAAAAATGACGCATCCTCATATATATACACACACATATATGTATTATATATATAAATATATATTCATGTATATATATATATATATATATATATATATATATATATATATATATATATATATATATATATATATATATATATATATATATATATATATATATATATATAACCAATTTCAATAATTTGATTCTTAATTTCTATAGTTCTTCATTACCCTGTAGGACAATGTTTTTTTTTATTTAATTTACACAGTCTGTGTCACATGTCTTAAAAAAAAAGTTATATTTAATTTCGGCCAGAAATAATCTAATTTCGGCCGGAACGAAATTCCTGTACATCCCTACTATCAAGTAAAAATTTCACTAAATTTGAAAATTCAAATTAAATTATTTTCCGTGAAAAAAATTAAAAGATTTCAAAATTTACATCACAGGGTATCTTGACGTGTACCCTATCACCTTATGTATGTGGCGCTCTTGGGTCAGCTCATATTCAGGATCGTTACTGTGTCTGTTATTGATATTTCCGAAATTGGTTAGATATAAAAATATCAAACTTTTTATTTTTCAATTGACAGTTTTAAATATTTAAAGTTTTTACAACATATTTTAAAAGTGAAAATTATTGGCCTATTTTATATAGTAGTATGTAAATCGAAATGTTAAACGATGTTTTTTAATTTTAATGTTTAGTATGACCCTCCTCACACGCTTATTGATTTATCCATAAAAAAACGTGTACGTGCAGCTCCGGAACATTCTTTAATTGTAACTTTAATCACTTGTTATAAAAATAACCTATACGTAAATATCTGACATTAATAATACAAATTAAATTTTATATTTATTTATATATATTCCGTTTTATATACAAAAGAAATAGGATATATAGTATAATTATATATAAGCATTAATAAATACATTGTTGCTTTAATAAAGGTTTTTGAAATTTAACATTGAAACAAAAAAAAAATATTTTACATAAATACTTATAAAAACTCCAGTTTTGTAAACATTTTCAAAGTTTTCATTGGACGAAAAGTTATTTAAGAGTTCAGTAACACAGAATATTCAAATGTTGTTTCGTAAATTCAAAAATAAAGTTTAATTCATTTATAAATTGTTAATTTACTCTAGTATCTAACTTTTTTTAACGTTGTAAGAACTTAATAAACTACTTTGTAACAAAATAAACAAATAAACAATTAATAACGCAAACCTTAAAATAAAATTGTGTATATAAAAAAGGTTATATAACATAAATATTGTAACAAAAACAAAACAACAAGCCAAAAACAATAAATCAAAAATTAAATTCTCACAACATTAAAAATGTCTGATAAATTCTACAAATTCTGGATGTGATAGCAAACTATATTTTTATAGTAAAAAAAATCAATAAACAAACAAACAAAAGGAAAAGTAATAATAAAAAAAAAAAATTAAAAATTTTAGTTGCTCTTCGGAAACAATTTTTATTAGAATATTTTATATTAGAACACGTTCTGCTGTATCCAAAATAACGTTCTGCTGTACCCAAAATAACGTAAAAAAATGTATTAAGTTTTTCACTACAATAAATTGGTAGAGAAAAAAAATTGCTAATAAAAATATTTCCCTTATTGTTTGATATCATCTCCACGACTTTTGAGTTGGTGGTGCCTGATTAGATCTATTTGTGTTTGACGTCGAACTTGTAACTGAACCTGTTGTGCCGTTTCGGTCGCTTACTCTTGAAGACGATAGCGTGGTGCGTGAAGAATTGCGACCTGTGATAAATTATAAAAAAAAAATCTTTTGACAAATAACTTCAAAAGAATTTCTTTGTTTTATCATTATTTATAAATTTAATTAATTATTCAAAGTTTGACACCTAATGTGTCATACTCATAAATTTTTATTGGCGCAATACTCTACTGAATGCAATACCCTGCTGAATGCAATACCCTGCTGAATAAACCTCTTGTTGTGTTGTTATTTTGTACAAAGTTTAAATTGTTTAGTATTTTATGAAAGTGTTGCAAATTTATTGCAATTAATTTATGTGTCAAATTATAATAAGAAGAACTAAATTTTTGGATTTAGAAAGTAAAAAATACCTAAAACAAAAATAACTTTTACGCAACCAAAGTGAAGAGAATTATATAGGTTATCCTTGTAATTTAGTTAAAATGGATCCAAATACCTACATATCAATTAAATATTGAATACAACCTAGATTGTTCTAACTTGAAACCAAACTTTATAATTGTTAAGCGTGTCTCATGCATAAAAAAATTTATACAGTTGACAGTCAACCCACGATTGCCTTTAATAAATGATAAATTTATTAAAACAAAAAATTAAAAACTTCCAACTGTCAAGGTCATCTGCTAACATTACAAGTAACAGGTTTTCTCAATGAAAAAAGTACTTTGACTATATGGCTTCGCACAACGACAGTATCACTGGAAAGATCCTATTGCATCATCAGTACTCAGGATGGACCCCTTAATGGCAAATTAGTTTGAACTGTAGTTGCTTAATATGAAGTGTGTGATCACAGGAAGATTATTTGTAGGGTTCTGAGTGGCAATATAGAATTGACAAACTTAGTTGGCCAGTGTCAACTTTCTTGCGTAATATAGAACATCTAGTTTTTTCAATGAAACTTTATTAGACACAATCCAACTTTTAATTGTATTAACTATGTAATAGAGATACAGTTGGTCTGAAGGCAGCTCTTCTAACACATCTTTGTTTAAAATGAGTACACACTTGGCATTCAATTGATTGTAACTGAATGATCGAATTTTGATTGGCAAGTCTGCAGTGCCTTTCCAACGGGGCTAATAAAACTGGTAGAACCAGATGAAGCACCAATTAAATGTGTAAATTGTGACGCAAGGGCAACTCATTTGTGTGCAACATACAAATGAATCAGCTCACAAGATATCAAAAGAGCTAACTCAACTTGATGGATTATTCCACCTTTAAAACCTAAGTTCACATTTATATTGTCACATCCCGTAGCACAAATAACATGATTTGTGCCTTATTCTGAAATGACTGACATAATGCTGCTGATGTTGATACTTTTTCTTGATGTCGGTATGATATGAGTGAGATACTACCCCCACCTGGTTCTACAACCACTACATAATGTTCTTCAACAGTTACATCACTATGCCACTTATTGCCTCTGAATATTTTTGCTTAAGTTTTATCTTTTTTGCCATCAAAATAAATATCTGTGATGCTTTCACTTGTTTCCCTCTTACGCAAAGTCTTCCTTAGTTTAAGCCTTTCACTCCGAACTTTGCTCTTGTCAAACACCAAATACCGATGGTCCTTAGTAATCATGCCAACATCTGATATGCTATATCTATCTGCTTCCTTGACTAGATTGATAGTAGTGTTCTTATTCGCCTTGCTTGCATAGTAATAGCGGCAAGAAATCAGTCACTGAGATACACTTCACTATTACTATCCTCTTCACTTAGATCCGTCTTAGTCCATCATCTACACTTGAAAACTCAACTTCACAGCTTCATTTGATCTGTATGTCTAAAGATGTTCTTCATTAGCATGCTTTCTTTTTAAATGACTCTGCAATCTGGTCATTATTATTGTATCTCCACCAATAAACATACATCAAGAATTTCTTGGATCCAGTAAGAATAATTGTGCTGTCGGTGAAACTTTAAATTCTTTAGGGCACTTGCAGGAAACAGTCACTTGCTTGGTAAATTCATTGTATAACAACAAGCATTTAAATAACACAATATTAAACAAGGAATTCAAGTTCTTTTGAAAATCAGCATAATATTTAGAACTGGATATTGAGCGACACAATTCTACTCTCGTAGTAATTAGACAAGTTGTGAGCATGTTAAAAAAAGTGATAAAAATTTTACTCAAAGCTTGCCATTTCCATATTAGCCAGTCCCTCAAAGTTTTTAAATATATGCCGCAATCTACAGACTTTATTCAAACGTGTTTTTCAAGACACAATTGACAGAATTCTTTCAAGTGCATTTAATTCCAAAGAGTTTTAGTAAATGACATCAATGTAGAATTTTGATAAGAAATCTAAAAATACTTTTTTTTATATATATAAAAACTTATTTAATTAAAAAGTTCAATTTTAATTACTTGTCTATGTTATGCCATCCAAATTTTATTCAAAAAAATGTGAAAAAAATAGCATCAAACATAACTTTAGTGAAACTCTTAGCAAAACATTTCTGTATCAGCATGTAAATGTTTGAACTTTTCAAATATCAAATAATTCTGCTACTAACATTCTTAGTACGGAAAGCTATTGATCCAAGATATGTTTTCACTAAAATAAATAAAGGTCACATGGTTATCTTTTTCGATTTCACTATTAAAAATAGGATTAATAACTTGTCATACAGCTACTTAAAGCTTAATTACAAAAAAGCTGACACCAATAAAATCTCTGACTTTATTACAAATGTTGATTGGCTATTTGAAATTTTATCTGTTCAGGAAAGGTACGACAAAGTAATTCACTTCTCAAATGCAGCATGTAATCAATTCATTCCAGTGCTTGATGTATCTCGACCAAAAAAACAAATTGCTCCATGGATAAAAAATGATCTTAAAACTCTAATAAAAAAAAAGCAAAATCTTAGATACCTGAACTGTGCATGTAAATGGAAAAATCTATATGTAAAGATTACACTATGTGTAAAGAGTACAAATTGACTTGCAAGTTAGTTAAAAAAGAAATTAAAATAGCTCGTCTTGCATATGAAAATGATTTAGTTAAAAGATCCAAATCGAATCCGAAACTTCTGTATAAATACCTAAAGAATCAATCAGAGCCTTAAAAACAGCTAATGGTTATCTAACTAAAGAACCTAGAGAGATATCTAATCAACTCAATAAATGTTTCCAAGATATTTTCGTAAGTGGCAATGAAGGGGAACTTCCACATTTCACAGTTGAATTTAATGAAAATCACTCAAAATTTGTTGATCTAGATCATAATATCAGCTAGAAATGATATAAGATAAATTAAAAAACCATCAAAATAAAGCATGTGGTCCTGATAATATGTATCCATTTCTGCTCAAAAACTGTGCTGAAGCATTTGCTTTTCCTCTAAAATTAATTATTAGGGCATCTTAACTAATAGTCAGCTTCCAGTTCAATTTAAATCAGCGAACATAATGCCCCTATTCAAAAAAGGTGATAAGACTCTTCCCTGCAATTATCATCCAGTTACATTGACTTCTATTCCATGTAAAATTATGGAAAGTTTAATTAGAGCTAAAATGGAAGAGTACCTGTATAAAAATAATCTACTAGCAAAAGAGCAACATGGTTTCATTAGAAACAAATCATTTACCACTAATCTTTTAGAAAGCATTGACTACATTTCATCAAGCTTAGATATTGGTATTCCAGTTGATGTAATTTTGTTAGATTTTGCTAAAACCTTCGACACAGTTTCGCACAGGAGACTGTTAGCAAAACTAAAAGCATACGGCTTTGATGGTCTGCTATTTAAATGGATCGCAGCTTTCTTAGAAAAACAGAAGACAAAGAGTTTTTCAAGGTGAAATCATTTCTGACTGGGTTAAGATTTTTAGTGGTGTACAACAAGGTTGGGTAATTGCAGCACTTTTATTTGTTTTATAAATTAACGACCTTCCAAAAAAATTGCTTAATGTAACCAAACTATATGATGATGATACAAAAGTGCTTTATCAATTACCATCAGATAATTAGCTTTTGAAGATTAGTAGCTATGCGCTACTAATCTTCAAAATGATCTAGATATTGTCTATAAATGGTCTCAAACTTGGCTTCTTCGGTTTAACATACCAAAATGTGTAGTTGTGCATTATGGCCATAATAACAAAAACTATCTATATAGTTTAAATAGTATTCAATTAATGAAGTCAGATACAGATAGAGATCTGGGAGTACTTTTCAATAAAAACCTAAAAATGGAAAAATCAAGTGATTAATTCTAACAAAGTAAATCAAATGCTTGGTTGTATTAAAAAATCATTTGTTTGTTTTGATTATAAGTTACTTGGTTTGCTTTATATTACTTTTGTTCATCCATTACTGGAGTTTGCAGTTCCAAATGGTCTCCATTTCTTAAATCAGATTGTGACTATATTGAAAGAATCCAAGACAAAGCTACTAAACTAGTTTCATCAATCAGAAATCTTTCCTATACAAAAAGACTCAAAGAATTAAACCTAACTACACTAGTAGAAAGGAGACAAAATTAATAAGATCTAATAAAAATGTATAAAATTATGAATAATATTGATAAATTAGAAAATGGCATTCGTTTTCCAATTGTTAACAATCATACAAGAGGTTACTGCTTTAAAATTTCTAAGGAATCGACAAAACATAAGAACAGAGAAAACTTCTTTAATTGAGTAGCAAATTTATGGAATTCTCTGCCAGAAGTAACTGTTAAATTGCCTTCAGTCAACAGCTTTAAAGCAGCAATCAATCATTTCAGCTGTCAATCATTTCAAATCAATCAATCATTTCAAAGTGTGCCTGATAACACACTCACTGGCAGTTACAGCGTTTACTAACTAACTATATATATAGTATCTATAGTATTATACAGTATTGTACATACATAATATATATATATATATATATATATATATATATATATATATATATATATATATATATATATATATATATATATATATATATATATATATATATATATGTATATATATATATGTATGTATATATGTATATATATATATATATATATATATATATATATATATATATATATATATATATATATATATATATATATATATTAAGTATATGACTTTTTTTCAATCAAGATTCCTGGGGTGGCAAATGATGAACTTTTATCTAAATATAGTAAATATGACTTATTTTTTGTTTAAATTTTAAGAAACCTGGCGCACCCTTAAAGACATAGCTACAATGCTTAATTCACACAAGTTATATATTTTAAAACAGAAATTTTAAACATTCATATGAATATATGCTTACTTTAGTCACTGTTGAGTGTTCACAATTGTAAATTTGAGTTTAAGAATTTAGCATTAAGGTACTTGTCAGTTTTGCAGGTAGTGTAAATGTCTTCCATCACTTGACTGCTTTTTCAGCCACAATGTTTGATCGTGGAATGTCAATGACTGAAGGCTGATTTATCCAATGCGTTTGGAAACACTTTGTTGCTTTCTGGCAATCAAAATCTGAAACAGCAGAATGCAATTCTTCAAAACTGTGTTCAGTGAAATGCTGATAAGAGAACCACGCTGATACCCATACAGTTGATATAAAGTTGCAGATACTGCTCAGCTGCTGACAATGTTCTTCCAGAAGAAAATAAACTAGTGTTGCTCTAGAGATCTTGCATTATGAAGGAAGTTTTTGCCACTTGATTTTTGTAAATTTAGCGCATTTCTTGTACACTTTGTAAGCCTCGCAAAGTTCGAATAGAAACTTGAAATCACTCCTCCATCCAGCATTTTCAGAAGCAGGTACTTGGACTTCACCTGTATATTTCGTCTGAAAGTTCTCATACTGACTGCAAATGTTATCAACAAACTCATACTTTATATCTGGTTTCTGTGAGACTGTTGGAACACAGAAGTCAAGTAAATGTCAAAGAACCAAGTCAAGGATGTGGTGTTGACACCCAATGTACTGCGGTCTAATAATACACTTCCTTTCAAATTCTTTATAAAGCCAAGCGATTATTCCATTTCTGCTACCAGTGTTGACTGTTGTTGTATCGCACACAATCATTTTAATACTCTTCCACGCATCGAAGTCATCTAAGGGCTTCTTCAATCCAGAAAATATGTTTGCAGCCAAACCAGATTCACATATGATGATACCTAAATTCAATTTCCTTAAGGGACTTTGCAAGCAAACAACTTCATATTCTTTAGATAACAGTTTCTTTCCATTGAAATGCAAACAGAAATTATTTAATTATCTCTGACCACTCTTTTCCATATGCCAGTTTGTGATGGTGTGAGTAACTTAGCAGAACATTCAGCAGCTAGACTAGAACAGACTCTAGATGATTATCTTGTAGATAGAGAATATTTGGTAGCCAGATTTGCAGCAGCCTTGGTTTTTTGATATTTTTCCTCTTTGTTTCCACTTCAGGTATAAAATCATCACCAGGTGATAATTCAGCATCAGTTTCTTGCACAGATTCATCTGAAGTTACCATGACTTGTTTCTCAACTGAAGATTGCATAACTTTTCGGCGTTTAGACGCCGAAAAGTTATGCAATCTGAATTGTTGAGACTGGTGCAAACTTCGCAGTTGTGTATCCAACAGTACCATAAGATTCAATCTGCTATAGGTAAAGTTGTTTGTCTTCAGAGGACAACCAATTTCCATCAGTTTTGGTTATATCAAAGAGACTTGCTAATTCCTCCAGAAATCTCCTACCCTTTTTCTTCATGTATCTCACATATGCATCAATTAGATTTGCAATTTTTGGGTGGACACGTTGCATTGATACAACAGGAAAATTAAATTTATCCTAAAGTAAATTCAGTTCCTTTGCAATAGTTTCTGTTTTTATTTTCTTCTCCTTCATTTTATCATGTAATCTCAAAAAACGCCCAACAATGTCCCTGTTAAGAGGCATTTTGCAGAGTTCATTTAATTCAGTAACTTGCATAGGTATTTCTGAACGCCTGACAACTTTGCTTTTTATATTCTGCTGCCATACATTGGAGCTTTTATTAACTAGGTTACATGATAGTTTAGACATGTCTTTGTTGAACTAAATGAAATCTAAACTTTTTCTGTCAGAATAGCTTTTTCAATAAAACAACAAAGCAATTAGTCAAAAGCAGATGAGAAAAATCGAAGCTTATAAAGCCAAACTACTAGAAACTCTACTTTAAATATGAAATTTCGAAAGTGTAAGCCTATTGGTTAAAGGCAGATTGTTAAAACTATATTTAGCTTTAATTAGCAATAAGAAGCTAACATTTAAGGTATAAAACATTGCCTACATTTAGCGCAATATAATTATATAACGCCATTTGTTTAAAGTTTTATATTGAATAGTGACATCATCAAAAGATGCTTATAGGTGCACCAACTTTTTTCATAATTTTTCACTAAAGGTATAATAAATGCAATCTACATATAAAAGTTCATCTACTGAAACCCCAGGAAATCAATTTTTATTCAAAAAGTTTAAAAGCCATATACCTAATATATATATATATATATATATATATATATATATATATATATATATATATATATATATATATATATATATATATATATATATATATATATATATATAAATAATCAAAAATTATTTTAAAATCTTTATTATTTTTAATATTTAAAAAAAAACTTGATTAGTGTAATAAATTAAAGTAAACAACTCATGCATTCATACTGTTTTATTTTAACTATTTTTTATGTTTACTGGAATAAAAATAAAAAATTAAAATATTTTTTTTTTTTTAACATAAATAAATTTAGACTGATTTTAGCGTTTAAATTCATGTTGTATATTTGTATGTGCATAAATTTTGCATATATGTGTGCAAGTGTGTGAGTAACACTAAAAATCTTACTTGATTCATTTTCAACCAAAACATTATCCAGCTTATCTTGAATTTGCTGAAGTACTTTATTTACGTTAAAGGAAGTTATTTAAGTTTAAATCTTTGAAATTAAAATCTTTGTAAAAAATTCTGCTGTAAAAAATTTAAATTGAAATCAAATTGGCAACAAATTGCTTAATGATTCATCAACCAAGTTAAAAAAAAAAATTAATTGAAACTTTAAAAACAAAATTATATACATAGAGTATTAAAGAGTAAGGTAAGAGATAAAAAAAAAAATTTATCAAAGAAGAAAAAACTTATAAAACAGTCTGAAAGACCTTTTAATTAACAATAATAATAACTTTAACTAAAATATTTTTATTTTTTCATTTTTAATTAAAATAAAAAAAGCAATTAAAAGGATACAATCAGAGGTATACCAATTCACTCCAATATTTTCTTTACGAGAAGGAGATGGTTTAGGCTTTCCCTTTCGATCAGTTACTGGAGAAAAACAAGTTGATGGAAGGGTACCAGTCATAAAACATCCAGGAAACTTTTTGTTGAGAACCTTCATTCCTAAAATAAAATTGAACTATATACTTAAACTATATACAGATCGTACCAGATAAGCTTAAATCTAACTTAAATATCAGATTTTGATTTTAAAAAACTATTTGTGATCGAATATCATTATCCTGTAAGATCAAGCTCTTTTATATGAATTTAATCTGCACTTTCTCCATTTTTTGTTATGCTAAAAAAAAAATGAAGAAAGTCTTCACCATTCATCATGCTGAGCATAACTTGGACTACAGCCCTCGCATTAGGGTCAGCATTCAGCAAAGCCGACCTAACTGTTGACCAGAAGTGTTTGAGGTCCTTACCGACCTTGTTTTTATGTTTTATAATAAAATCGTTGTATCAAATTTTTTTTGCCGATCACTAACAGATAAGGTCGGCAAATTATCTCTGACCACATTTTACTCTGAGGGTTGCTTACTGTTTAACACAATTAACTCATAGGAATCAATTAATTTGCATCTGTATTCTAGAATTTTAAATATAGGATAAATCATTCTATTACACTGAAATAGTAATTTCTTGTTTTTAAATGGCACTTGAGCTCATTATTATTCATATTACAACTTGCATCAAGATTGGCTCGCTTATTTATAAACAACATAAAACTTTTAGTTAGAAGAAGTTCAGACTCGGAGGGCCTAATGTATTCTGCCCTAGTCTAAAAATTGTCTACGACCAATTGTTACTAAATTTCATCTTGTTAAAAAAAAAATTGTTCTTAAAATAATTTTCTGAAAAAAATCAAAGGAGACAACAGAGAAAAAAATTATTAAAAGGGAGAGCGAGGCTCAACTTAAAATTGAAAAGAAAGAACAAAAGAATCCTTAAGTTAATCTAAAGATTATGTATGATGCTTAATTATCAGCAGAGAGATAACAGCTTTATCAGCAGAGAGATAACAGCTTATGGATCATCAAAAAGAAAATCACGAAAAGAATCTCAGTCAGCCTTAAGCTTTAAACCAGCGTTAAAAGTAAGAAGTGCAATTATAGGGTAATTCCGATTAGTAAAGAGTATAAAATTTTATTGAGACCATATTATATCATTGAAGAGAACAAACAAGAAGAAACTGACCTTATGGGTCAAGCATGTGACTACTAGAAAGAGTATTTACAAATTAACTAAAAAAAAAAGGCATTAGCACTGAGATATAAAGATAAAACAGCTAAGTTTAAACTCACAAAGAAATATTTATATATATAGATCTGGTGCAATTATGTAAAAATCAAAAGGTCTTTTTAAAAGAAGGAACTGAAGAGATAAAAAATTTCTTTGAAAACCACAAATATTTGTAAGATAGATTAAAATAATTGAATATATTTTTTTTTTAATAATTTAATAATTAAAATAATTTGATGGATGATTTTTGTTGTTGTTTAAGATTAGATTTATTTAAGATTAGATGTTATAGATACAATATTCATATCTTCAGAGAAAAACCTTATTACAAGCTACCCTCAGAATCATTAAACTGAGTTTTAGAGCTGTAGCCTTAGTAAAACATAAAAGAAAAGTCGCATAGCTGCTACCAAAAATCCACAAGCAGAAACCCATGAGTAGAGTGAAGAATTTCAAGAAAGTCATCACTCTAGCCAGAAAAAAATATATCATGAGTTAACATTTACGCTACTTTATTAGATAAATAAAAGGCACAAAGCTGGTTAACAGGAATTTTCTGTGTACTCCCAAGGGTTGAATTAAGCGTTTATGAAAGGCAATATCTGGAAAAATATCTGGTCTCCAAAGTTAAATAATCCCAAGTTTTAATTGAAATTTGAAATGCAACTAGAAAAAATAGAATGCATATTATAAAGTAACATAAAAATTTCAGGAACATTTTGTAAACACATTTTTAAAAAGTTTACAAAAATTCCTGAAGTTTTATTTAAACATTATAAGCATTTAAAAATTTTACTAACAGCCTAAAAAAACCAACATTAATATTAAAGTTAACCAATCAAACTTTTAAAATCAGGCAATACTGCAGATTTTGTAGTAAACTATAACTTTTTTTTAATGTTTTTTATTAATTAATCAGTAAGTTAATAATAAAAGTAAAAATAAAAATATATATTCATAAAATATATATTCATAAAATGCTAACGTTTTAATCGACTTTATTGTTGTTAAAAACTTTGTTGTTGATTAAGCCTCAAGCTTTTAGTCAAGGTATGTCGGTGCATTTTTTAAAACAACTTGCAACAGTTAATAAACCTTTTTTATTGCCACCTGCAAAATTTTATACAAAAATTTTGATGATCGACTTTAAACTTTAAAGTTTTTTTGCTGGTTTTTGCTTAATTGATTTTGTAACGATTGCTACACCAATATTTCCATTTTGGACATTATTAACAAATTGTTAATTATTTGCATACCAAATTGGTACAAATTATTTACATAATGATTGGTACATTTGATTACATAATGACTGTCACAATTAATGCATAATGATTGGTATTAGCAATCATTCACATGGAATTCACATGAGAACGCACATAAAAGCAGTAGCATTAAGTTAGGAATCAGAAGTTACAGAGAAAGCAATGAATAGTTTATAATTATATAATTTATTTAATGAAGTGTATTTATTGTTTTTGTGTTTATTTATTTTAAACTAATTATTTGCCAAATGATTGGTTTTTATTTTTATTATTTGTCATTGGTTATTATTGTTACTATTATTATTTTTTTACACTGTTGTTTCTATTATATATTTTTTATGATCACTTTATATTACTTTGTTATACATAAATATACATATTATAATATACACATACACATTTCTATATTGCTATTTACTATTATTATTATTATTGTTATTATTTATTATTATTTTTATTATTGTTATATTTATTATTATTATTTAGTGTCATTGCATTTATCAGATTACGGTTTGAGGGACTCCTTTACAGTCATTTCATAATTCGTCGGCTAGAGATGCAATTGTCGTATTACAAATTTATTAAAATTATATATAAATATGTAATGACATAATTTATGTAAGTTTAAAGTTATGTAAATGTAAAAAATTATTTAATATAAATTATTGAATATAACGTTTTACAAAAAACTTTTTTCATTAATATATGATGTTAAACTTACATATATTAGATAATTACATATTTATATATAACTTTAATAAATTTGCGATACGACAATTGCATCCCGAGCCGACGAATTATTTAATTATTATTATCATTGTTTAAAATTTCTTATCTTCATTGCTTATAATTTTAATTATTATTAAGATATAATGATAATTCATTGTTACTATTGGTTACTATTGATGATCATTTTTAGCTTAATTTGATTGTATACTTATTTATAATGCAATCATTATTTAGGAAAATAAATATCTTGTTGCAAAATTTGCTGCATTTAAACATTGCCTTTTTTGACAAGAGATTTGTTTTGGTATGAGACTCATACCAAAACAAATATCATACCAAATAATCATACAGGGTTGCCACTACAATTTTAAAAGTTTTTCCCTGAGTTTTCCCTAAGTATTCTCTGAGTTAAGTACATTTTTCCCTGATTTTAGTTTTTTAAAATCCCTGAGTTTTCCCTGAGTTTTCCAGAATTAATAATATATACATATATATATATATATATATATATATATATATATATATATATATATATATATATATATATTGAATGTGGAAAACTTTAAATCTTTGTTTAATGTACTACATACTGTTACAAGTAAATTCTTTTTTTTTCTACTTCTTTAATTTCATCTAATATGATTGCTCTTTGGTGGTTTGATTCACACTCTTTCTTTAAATTCGCCTGCTCTGCTAAACTGATTTGGTACTGTTGTCTGGCTGACTTTACTGATAACATTAATGCATTTGTGATATTAATAGTGTCAGCTTGAATGTTCTGAGAATTCATATGATCTTCTATAATGCGATAAGAGACTATTGAGTTAGACTGAATATTTTCATTTTGAATTGTTTTGTTTATGCTGAAACCTTTTTCTACAAAAGCTTGACCATGACTAACGGTTAAAACCATTTTGATAATATGATTTTGTTCCTTATGTTTGGTTATATCTAGTTGATGAAAATAGAAGATATCTGAACGAGTGGTTTTTTTATCAAAGCTAAGAAATTTTTCTATATTTATTTTCATGTCATTTCTTAAAAATATTGAATACTGAAGCATGACATTATCACTTTGTGTTGCAGATATAAATTTTAAACTGACAAGATAATGTAACAATATTTTTAGTTTATTTTGATTAGATTCAATTGTTAATGTTTTGAGATTGATAGGTTCGAAACAACTTGCATTCGCTATGATTGCAGAGTCTAGTGGGATGCGTTTAAGTAAACTTTCCATGGGTTTTGTGAGAAATAAAACACATTCATTTCTAAACTGATTTATTTCATAAGAGTTATATTATCTTTAACAAGGAGTTCTTTAATTGAAACTTCAGCCGCAAAACCAATAATAACATCTTTCCTCGGTAGCAAATTCTCTTTTTTATAGAGATCTATCTTTTTTTATTAAAAAAACTTTTTGAGGAAGGCTGTTTAGACTTTGATAATTTTTCTCAAAATCTAATTTATTTTACAATGTGTCCCATATTTCGATTAGGCAATCAGCAACAATTTGGTCTTCAATCCATCTTGTTGAACAGAAACTTAATGGATACCGATTTGAGCCAGTAACACTGTTATAGTCATCCCTCCTAGCCGGAGTATCATGGAGTATTTGGTATGCTCCCTTTAGAATACTTTTTAGATTCCATGATGTAGACTCGGAACCTAATTTAAAAGTTCCATGTACTACATGCAAACTACAACACCCAATGTCAAGTAAAGAATTTAATTCGCACTTATTTCGGTATATGGAAAGTTCTTTAAAAAATTTCCAATTTGTATTAGGCCCATCCATAGATACTTATCATTTTTGAAAAATCCAGATTATCCAGACCATTTCTATTTCTTTATTGAAATTTTTTAGAATATGTGCTGGCCTAGAAAAACTGAATTCAAATATCGCACATTAACCTAATTTTCTAAAGTATTCCAAAATCTAACAACAATATCCATTTGACAATTTTGTGTAACTTTGTTTAGATTTTCATCAAATGAGACAACATAACATGGAGAATTTTTGATACTTTCAAGAAGTAATGATTTAAAATATGGTGCTAACCCATTGTTAATCTTATATCCTATTTTTGTTCTATACATCCTAATGTTAATTCTTTTGCCACATTCCTATCTGGAAAAATACTAGTAAATAATTTGCTCAAATTAGCAGATGCATTGTTTGACAATCCATTCATAACAGTTGCAAGAACCATCTTATTTCAGATCTTGTTTCTTAATTGGTAACAAAACAGATTCTTAAAAAGTAACAACAAGTTCTAAAGTTTTTTGACCAATTGCCAGGGGTAGTGTTGGTGTAATAGTAGAATGTTTTACAACAGGTTCAAAAAAGTGACTTTTGGATTTAGCTAAAACATTAAGTTGGTGTTTTTTACCTTCATTATGACTTTTAACTGCCTGAACCCCCATTTGACAAATTAAAAGTTTTACAACAGCTGTTACATCTAGCAACTCTATTGTTGTCAGTCTTAACAAGCCATTCTTTGTACTCTGGGTGATTTAGCCAATCATTTGAAAAAATTGTTTGATCCATTTTAATTATTAATAACTCTAAAAAAAATATATTCTTCTTCAAACATATTACATATATTTATAGATTTAATGATGAAAGATTATAAATTTATATATAAAACATTTTTATATAACTTATTAAATCAAACTTTACTTAGTATTTTAGTATTTCCCAATTAAGCCCATAATAAAAATTCTACTTAAAATAATTAAACAACTTAACTATAAAATATAAATTCAAATTTAATATTGAAAATAAGCAAACCATACAAAATTAACATCAAATATAAAATCTCATAAAAAATTATGATTATATATTTTATGACTTTATCATAACTTAAATTATTGTTAATAATTTAATAAAACATTATTTTCAAAATTGGAAAAAATTTTTACCTGAGTTTTCCCTGAATATTAAATTAAAAAAAAAAACCCTGAGTTTTCCAGGTTTTCCCTGGGATTCATGCTATTTCCAGGTTGAGTGGCAACCCTGTCATACCAAAACAAATATAAAAAGTCTATCCAAAAAAAAAACCTATGAATGATACAAAAAAATACTATGAGTAATGATTAAAATAAATTAAACAAAGTTTACCTTCGTTTCTATTCGTTTATAGAATACTTTTTTATTAGAATATATAAGAGTATAAGATCTTAATTTGTTTACCAACTATAACTATTTGTATAAATTCGTTATATGAAATTTAACATTCAGTATTCATTTAAATACAATTTTAGGCTAAAGGCAAATATTCATTAAACTTTGGTACAAAAATTTTACTAAGTTACCATTTTCTATTGGCTTTTTGTTTATTGAAAACACTAATCGCCAGTGCTTAGTTACCACACAAATTTTTTTCAAGAGAAAAATTGACTTTAGAAAAAAAACTAAAATGTCAGTTATCTTATTTGTCTTCTCAATTAGCTAGCTCTTCCAGAGAACGCAAGACAGCATTAATTTAAAAAATTGTTAAACGATAAGAAAAAATTATGAAAACTTTATGTACAAAAATTATAGACCTGAAAAAAAAAAATTAAAATAAAATAATAAAGTGAGCGTATTCATAATTTGAGGGCTAAAAAAAAGGCATTGAAGATAAATAAAAATCAAACGATAAGGCAAATAAAACTCAAATATAATGCTGATATTTTGGAAAATAACAGTAATTTTTGCTTGAAAATTGATATATTTCTGCTAGAGGATGAGATTACAAATGTGAAAATAATAAAAAAAATAAAAATGCATACGAAAACGATAAATTATAACATGTTGTTATGAAATGTCTCAACAGGTAACATTCCATTGCTAACATATAAAATAGGGCACTATACTGGTGTCATTTGTACCGATATTCCCAAATGCAGTACTGCTGAACAAATGATTTGTGAACTAGTCATTTTATCAGAATTGCATACATTATATTGAAAATAATCATCTTACTATAAGATTTGTTTATTGAGTTGATTAAAATCATAATTAGTTAATAGAGCTAATAGTTGATAGAACTCTTTTTTAATTTACCTGCAGAACAAATTAGATGTGGTATTTTACTAGTTACTTATTTTTAAAAAACTGTTTATAGACAGGTTATTATAAAATTTTTGTAATTTTACTAAAGATACTGTTATTTTTCAGATTTACCTTTTCTTGACGCCATCTTTAGAACTGGTGCCAACAATTTTGGTAAGTTTTTGTCTCAATTTTTTGCTCATTTTCGTTTTTTGATTATTTTATTTAGATATGCTTTTTATAAAATATAGGCTTGTCAAGAAGTAATTTTATGGTTTGATGCCAAAACCACACTGTGTCTAAGTCAAAGTGGATCTTTTGTATATGGGCCCAGAATGCAGGCAAAGAGTTGCCTAAATTTAAATTCCAGACTTCTAGTGGTGGAAAGGATGGTTTTTAATAAGTTTATATTTGTATATAGTCTTTTTGTGTATTAAGTTTTTATAAATTTAAAGTTTGTTTTTTGTATATAATGTTTGTATTTTATTATAAATATTTATTTTTAATAAAAAAGGTAATGCTTAAGTTTTTATCGCCATGACAACCCTCTGTCTAACTGAGATAGGGTGGGTTTGAAAATTTGCCCTCTTGCACTTTTTATGGTCTTAAAATGTATTTGCTATTGCTAAAACATTTCTTTTTTTTGATACTAAATGGCATGAATTTAGATATGAAAATACATTGATTTGATAATTATATTGGGTTGAAGGGCGCAACTATTGCCACCCAAAACTATTGCCAAATAAACTTCTGTCCACCCAACCAAAGGTATCTCAATCATATTTCATGATGAACTGGTAGAACTTATTTTGAAAATCCAAAGAAAAAATTCAAAATTTCAATAAAAATTAATTTTAAGATTTTTCAAGTTTAGAAAAAACTTAAAATTTGGTCATGTTTTTTTCAACAAATCCGTGTATCAAAAATTTGGTACTTAAAACATAATAACTTTTTGTAGAATTGTTGGATTTTGATAATTTTTTCACCTTTAAAACACTGTTTATAACGTCTTTTCAATGATATATGACAGTATTTGATTAGTAATATATTACAATATTTGAATTTAAAAATTGCGTGTCACATACATTGATATGTTAATAATATATGATACAACAATAAATATGACACTACTTAACAATAGTCATCAAATTTTGTTTTATAAAAAATAAAAACTATAAATAAACTATATATAAAAAACAAAAATAAACTATAAACTTACCACCAGAAAGCATTATAACATTGTCCATTTCTCTCTGTACAAGAACAGTTGCTACATTTGGAGCCAATTTCTCATCATCATCATAAACTATAACAATCTTTCCAGGTTTATTTTTCTATTAGTAAAATATTGTTAAGGTCCATTACGATATTAATAACATTACCAATAACAATGTTAATAACCAAACACAAAAAAATAACATCAATAATAGATTCTGTAATAGACCTATCTCATAAGTAGATAGTATCTGCTCAAAAACCAAAACTTTCATG